TACATCCCTTGTTATGTTGACGATCCTTGCTCCGACTCCAGGGACTGGAGGATGGAGCTCGAAAAACAGCCTAAGGGATTTTGAGCGCGGGCACCACCCTCTCGTCCTGAGCTGAAGAGGGTGGCGAGAGTAGCACTAGAGGGATTGTTGCTGACAAAGAAAGCCAAGTCATAGATTTCCACATACCTTGTTTTTCTTTTGGAGCGCGCATGAGAACTGCGTTCGTATCATTAAGAGAGAAAAAAGGAGTTGACGATTACATCATGTGTGCCCGCAGGCATCCCAAAACCCAGAACTCACGTACAACCAAGCGCGTGCACACACACACACCTACCACTCTTGCATACCCACATTTCAACGATTGGTCTGTTTTGATATCGAGGTTAGATGCCATAGCCTTCATTCACAGTTGATGGTTGTCATTAGCCCACTCTCGCAATGGAGACCTTGTTGAAAACCCTGCGATTCCTTTCCTTCCAGATGGAGTGTCGGTAAGGATGAAGAGCTCATATCCTTTCTCTACGTCACAGAGATAGCACTGCTTGATGTCGTCCACCAATTGAACCCACCAGCATGCTCTGACTCGAAGGAGTGAACCTTTCCCGACCATTGGCATGAAATGCATCGAACCACACTGCACATGCGAAGGAGCATTGCACCAGTAGATGATCCAAGGTCTCATGCTCCTGCTAGTACGATAGGACCCTTATCATGAGCCGATCGGATCTGACATTTGTTCTTTATGAGTGAAGAGTGTGAGTGGTTGATGGTTGGGTGCTGGTGATCGCCCAAATGTGTATACTGTAGCCACAAGGCTCCATTCATTATTACAATGGCTTTTCAAGGCTATAGGAATATCAATTTTTGGTTATTAGGGTGAAATATCAAATTTTCAATGCAATATTTAGTTCAAAATAGTAAAAGAGGTCGTGTGCTGCAATGGGGTGACAAATTTGCCACCTTGAAATCAACCCAAGACAACCCGTACAATTCTGTTTAATTGTCTACCCTTCCTTAATACACCCCAAGACAACCCACACAATTACTTTTAATTGTTGAAATGCATCATTCCTTTTAATGCCCCCATGACAACCCTTAATTCTGTTTCATCTCTTTTTGTCTTGTTGATATTTAGGCAATGAAAGTGCTAGTTATCGACTGGGGGTGAATAGGCGATTTTTATGTAAGTCTTCAAAACACGAGGTCTTTGAAGACAGACAATCAAATGGAACCTATATGATATGCAGCGGAAAATAAACTACTCTAGACAGAACATAGTTAAGTAAGCAATATAATGAAAGCATGAAGACTAATAGCAACTAGGTAGTGAAAGTGCTAGTTATCGACTAGAGGGGGTGAATAGGCGATTTTTATGAAAGTCTTCAAAAACACGAGGTCTTTGAAAACAAACAATAGAAATGAACCTATTGATACGCAGCGGAAGGTAGACTACACTAGACAAGCCATAGTCAAGATAGCAATGAAGTGAAAGCACGAAGACTATCATCAACTAGGTAGTAAGGATCAGGATGGAAGACAATATGAAGCCAAACAGTAAACAGTCTTTACTCAGTGAAGTCAATCAGATCATACAGGCAAACAATGACTTCATGAAGACAAACTGTAAAGTGAAGGAAAGTGAAGGATAGAACTAGTTGCTTGGTGAAGACAAGGATTTGGTAGACCAGTTCCAGTTGTTGTGACAACTATACGTCTGGTTAGGGAGGCTGAGATTTAACTCACAAGACCGCGTCTTCACCTTATTCTCCTTGAGCTAAGGACACCCAGTCCTCGCCCAATCACTCTGGTAAGTCTTCAAGGTAGACTTCCAAACCTTCATAGACTTCGTTCACCGGCGACCCACAATGACTCTTGGATGCTCAGAACGCAACGCCTAACTGGCTGGAGGAATCACAGTCCTCAAGTGTAACAAGTCTTCAGGTCACGCAGACAGAAAGACTTTAGTGATGCCTAACACTCTTTGGCTCTGGGTGTTTAGGGCTTTGTCCTTGCAAGGATCTCTCTCTCTCTCTCAAATGCTTCAGAGGTGGGTTGCTCTCAAACGACAAAAGCCGTGCACTAACTCTGAGCAGCCACTAATTTATGGTGTACGGGGTGGGCTATTTATAGCCAGGAGGCAACCCGGCCTAATTTGTCTGAAATGACCCTGTGTCACTAAGGAACTGACATGTGTCCAACGGTCAGATTTCAAACACACGCGGCAGCTTGACTTGGGCTACAAGTAAACCTGACTCATCCAGCTCTGGATAAGAT